TTGTCTAGAAAGTGTTTAAATCGAATAGTTTGAGAGAGGATGATTTGGGTCTTGTGCTATGAAAGGATTTTGGTGAGTGGTGCTCGCGTATCCGCATTTCCATCCACTGAGAAAGGATTTTAACAAAGCCCCAGAAAAAATGAGGCTGCCGTAAGTACATCCAGCACAGCTCACACACTCTTCTGATAAAGCGAACAAATAAACAGTAATCTAAATTGAGAGGCTTCATATTAATCTCATGAAATGTTCTCATTTCTGAAGGCAACAGCGTAATATGTCACATAAAGGTGTCAGCGTGATCAATCTCGGTTATATGAAAAGGAGAACAGTCCGAAGCTTCTCTATGGATGCCCCTTTATGGAAACATTGTATATTATCTCGGGAGACAACGAATAAACGGCAATAAACGGAATAAACGGTGAATAGAAACTAGGAATGCAGAGTCTGCGCCGTAACCCAACCAGGGGTCTTGGATCACCAAAACGACTTGGAAATATTGTCGTTTCCCTGAAACCACGTTTACCAGCTACCATTGTAACCTTGAATACATAACAAACCTGGGTCCGTACAGAAATTTTCTAAGGTTTCCTTAGAGGAGTCAATCAGCCCTCTTCTCCAAGTGTGCAAGCCGACTTTCAGTCGAACACCTCGCGCGGTCGCCTAGTGGACAGTAGGTGACACTACGTTAATCACAAAATTTGGCGGGCTACAGCGAGAGCATCCCAAGCGATGAGAGTCTCTTGCCAACAGCATATGCATAACGAAGACGTTGAAGATGGCATCTTAAAACGGCTTTTCAAAATGTCACAACAAGTCGCAGCCCTGCTGCATACAAGGTGAGATTCAGTATCCAACTTCACCATGGTAACATTAGGTGCCTTATATCGGGATGCCATGTGGCGGTATCATCAGTAGGATGTATAGACTTTGTTGAATCACATATTGCATCCGCAGTGTCACGTAGTATATTCCGTTGTGTTTATATGATTTTGTGTACCATAGAGGTCAAACTTGGTTATGAACGTGAAGCGATGCTTACTAAAGAATATACATGCCCTGATCAAATGAAGTTTTTGTTCGGAACTGAAGATCACCAGCCGATTATTTGGCAGTGTCCACAATGAAGGTTGGATAAAGGCTACGAGAGTTTGTTGCAATGAGGCTTTTATTATTGTCCATATTTCAAGCTAGAAAGGGGTGGAATTCCTTAAGCTCTACTGCATTGGGACACGTGCACAACCACAGCATTTCGCACCAGGGATTTTCTGGTCAACCCAGAATTGCCCTATCAGGTGGACACGAACTTGGGAATCTAGAGCTTATTCGTACAATCAAAGCAATTGCTTCCTCTCTACAAACAGTCCAGCTTACACTCTCCTAATGAGGCCACCGAACTGACAGAAAAAGCACTATCACTCACCACTCCAGTGACAGAAATCGTAATTTGGTCGATATAATATGGATGGAATTAACTGCGGGACATACACAATAAAACGAGATCCCCCAATCTCCGATAAACTCAGCCAACCCACGGTAAAAACCTGTCTGGTATAAGGAACTGCTGATAACTGGGTAGCACTTAACTTCC